TTTTATATTGATTTTTAATGGGTATAACTTTTAATATGGTGTTAGCTGTCTTGAGAACCAGTTTTCTGGTTGAGGGGCAAAGCATAAACGCTTGACATAAAAAACCCAAAATCATCGGGGTGTGGGGATGTGTGAAATTACCCAGCAGTCCCCCATAACCACAGCCAATATCAGCAAATTCTACTTGAGAGGAAGGCTTGGCTCTCTCTTCCACATCCTTTGGGTCATTGTGCTGATCATCTTTGGTCAAAGGAGTGAAGAATTCTGGGTAGAGTTCAGACCAGTCCATTTCCTCAGGCTTGGCGGGACTAACAGGAAAGAAAGGAAAGAGCCTCATATAACACCAACACACTTCCCAGTTCCCCAGCAGCACCACTTCCAAGTGGCTTCCAACTCACAGACCACCACAAATCTGCCTTAAGGACCCACTTTGCTATTTCTGCTGCAACAGACCAATACAGAGACCACTCAGGAATTTGGTGAATGGAAGCTATGAGTTACCTGGCGTAATTATTTCTGCAGGACATGCTTATGACACCTTTATTATGGATCATTTCAAAACTGAACAGGGACAAGGAGTGAGGGTCTGCTACTCATCCTATGACTTCAAGAGACAGAAATATCCCAGCGAGTCATGTCTCGAGAGACATTCCAATTGCTTGTGTCTCACGCAAACAATGAAATAATAATGCGTGAATCTGGCCTTGATAGAAGACCCACAGAAAAGAATGTAGTGGGACTAATGTTCTAATCCTAACCACATCTGTTTGCAACCAAATTCCGCTGAAGTCAAGGGAAATTACAGTTAACAGTAATAGCACACTCACAGTGTAATACTTAGCAGAGTTAAGTCTACTTACAGTAAATGGATTTGGAAGGGTCAGCTCTGTTTAGGACTGCACTGTAAGGGCACTTATGGATCAAGCTACATTTGGCACTGTAATTCTGTATCTGGGATTCCCCAGTTCATCTCAAGTGCTTGAGATGAACCAGCTTTTATATTTCCCGTACTATTTCCAGAAGCATAAACACTAGCATCTAGGCAACAATAAGAGGGTGTGAGAAGATACCTAACCAAGGATTCATCACAGGATTCAGAGAAGCCAGAAAGAGCTGCATGTGTCAGGCTGCAACCTTAAGAACGCTTACTAGAGAATAAGCCCTAGTAAACTTGGGGTTGCGCTGCCAGTTTCTCATAGTCCACCCTGAAGAGACTCTGCCACCAAGAATAGACAGATAGATAGTAAAGGGCATATACGAAGACAAAGGCAGGACAGTCAATGATCAAGTGCATTCTTTGCATGCAGAAGGTCCCAGGATTAGTTCCAGCATCTCCACTTAAAGGACCCCAGGGTACAAGGAATGGGACCCTGGCAGGCCCTGTAAGAGGCGGAAATACTGGGATAAAGGGACGAATAGGCTCGGTACTGGACAACTTCATTATATTTCCCGATCATAGTTCTCTACTAAAGTGCATATGGCATGATCCTATATTTACTAGGCAATAAACCTCACAGTATTCCGACCACAGGGGTAAATGTGCATAGAACTGCCTCTATAAAGAAGCAAGAAGTAATTCAAAACTTAAAGCATTTCCGGGATAAAAACACCCACTCTACCCGGCAGCCTGCAACTAGAGGAAACTCACAACAACGCACAGAGCATCGGCACGAGGGTAGAGGAGGGGATTCGTTGTGGGTTCGTATCTTTTTCACACTCACTAGCGCAAAGTGTGATCCGCCAACGGGTTAGAGTGCGCGCGCTGCCGGTAGAAGCGCTTCTGGGGCGGCAGCGGCGCTGACAACACCTCCGCCATGGTCAGAGAAAAAACAAAACCCGCAAAGCGCAAACCACGTGGAGCCACCAATAGGCTCCAGTCGCGAGAAACAAACGTCAAACCAGAGCGCCAACAGGAGTTGACGCAGGGCGGCTGAGGTAGCCTCCTTAAAGGGCCAGCAGCAGCGTCTAGCATTTTCAAATATTATTTATAATAAAGTGTGCGTGCACACGAAAGCTCATAACCTTGAATAAACCTGTGTTGGTCTTAAAGGTGCCATTGGACTCTAAATTTGTTGTATGGCATTTTCAAAGTCTTTCTGGGAGAAAACCCAGACGGGTAGTCTGTCACCGTCCCATGAGGGTTGTTGTTTTATCGTGTTTTTATTACCTCTGGCCTGATTGCTTAATTTTTAATAACTACAGGAGGACAGACCAAAAATGTAGGGCGAAGCTTTTCCCACTCCGGTGCATACTTAACCTGGGATTATATCCCGTTGAACAACGATATTTCCTTTGAGTAAGTATATAGTAGCCATTTGCTAAATCTCTTATCTATGCTGCCACTGCTAAAAACGTAGAAGCTAGGCTGGAAAACAAATTAACAGACAAAGCTTTACACAGGGTTACCAACTTCCATGTAGGGCCTGGAGCTTACCCAAAATTACAGTTAGTGTACAGTCTACAGAGATTAGTGACCCTCAAGGAAAAGGCAGTTTTGGAGGGTAAATTTTACGGCACTAAATATGATGGGTTCTGGCTGGCGATCGTTGTACCGTGTTCGGAGAAGTAACAGAGCTGAAGAATAAACCGCATTCTTGCTGAATCACTCTCCGACTTCTTTGTTAAGCGCACGACTTAACAATAACATACATAGAAGGAGAGAAGTTTCGGGATACTCAAAATAATAAGGCTAGATTATGAATATGAAGAACATAGTGGTCCTTTAAGTCCAGCCTCCTGTTTCCAACATAAGCCGCCCAGAAGCATACAAACAGTCTCATCTCCTTTCATGTGCTAAGTGTCCTCAGTACTTGATAATTTGCTTTCTTTGTTTCTCTCTCCCTCTCTCTCTTTCCCCCTTCCTCCCTGCCTCCACCATCTATTTGTTTTCTTCCCACTTTTTTTCTCTTGTTCTTTCCCTCCTTTCTCTCTCTCTTTCTCTTCCTTCCTTCCCCCCTCCCCCATCTATTTGCTTTCTTTGTTTTGCTCTTTCTCTTTTTCTTTCTTTCCACCTCTTTCATTCTTTCCACCCCCCCTCTCTCTTAGACAAATAAATCTCATTAGCAAACAAATAAATCTCATTGTCAATATCTGTTTTTACCCCTTTTGTTTTTATTTTTCGCAGTCTCATTTAATGTTAATAAAAAGCAAATTTGCATATTTTTAAAAAAACATGTAATATTTGTTCATGTCTTGAGGCTCTCAAACATCTTACATTTATTCTATGTGGCTCTTATGTTAAACAAGTTTTGACACCCCTGCTCTAGCCCCTTTTATAGTGGAGATATGCCTTTCCCCTTATATCTCCACAATGAAAGAGACTAGAGATTTTTTTCCTAAATGAAAGCAGGGTATTCAGAGAACCTGATAAAATAGCATTATATCATTATAACAGTATTATTTATTTATCTGATTCGATTCATATACCGCCCTCACCATGGATGGGCTCAGGGCAGTTGACAACAATCTCAATAAGATATCCAGTTGCTGATTTTAAATAAATTTTTAAGGCTTGGTGATGCGGGGAGGGGATGGCTGCTGCTGGGGGCAGGGAAAATAGAGAGAAACCTGCCATAGGGAAGCCCTGTTACTGCTGTGCTTTCAGTACTCTAGCAACAAAAGCTGCAACTACACATTGTTATATATATTCAAAAGGGTTGCACTGTAGCCACTGAATGCAGCTGGATTTTCCTGTGTGGACAAATCAGACCACTAGGCTACCTTTCTGAGCTTGCAACAGTATGCAATAAAACACACACACAAACCCAGGCTGCGGTCACACGGAGCATTAGCCACACTACAGAGACGGAAGATAGGCGGATTTTCCGGGCGCGATCAAAGCGCAACATCTGGGAAGCGTAGAGTTCCCGTGGCTAACCCAAGGCTTCCCGCCGAAGATGCACCGTAAAAAACTAGTACCTCCAAGGTACTAGTTTCCGGAAACCGCGGTGCAAGGGTGGGCGTCTGATCACGTTTCCGGTGGTAGCTCGTGGCATCCAGCGCCCGCCCATGTCCCGTCGCAAAAAGGGGTTTTTTCCCAAGTCTCCACGAGATACACACAAGCACCCAACGGCGAATGCGCACCCTTTGGTTAAAAAAAACCCCACAACCCCCGCTGCGCCGCTTCTTTGCCGCGCCACAGGATTGACGTATGATCAGCTCCTCCCCCCGAACCACGGGACGTCGGCTGGACGTTTGATCCGGCGGTCGCACAGTAGTTCGCTCCGGGGCAAACAGCCACGCCTCCCCCCCCCCGCGATATCCGGCCCGTGTGACCGGGGCCCCAGTTTAGCAATAAAGCAAGGGCTGGTGGAGAGAAAAAAAGAAATTCTCACAGTTAGCAGCCCTCTTGCTAGGAGATGAGACTGTGCAGTCTTAAAGCCCGCTCTGCAGCAGCCAGCTTCCTGCCAGGTGCAGGCATTGAGCTTGCAGCCTTTTAGCCAGTCAAAATTCCATCCGTCCAGGCTGGAGCAAAATCAATTATGCAGGAAGGAGCTCCTTACAGTAAGGTTACCAACCTTCAGGTGGTAGCTGGAGACTTCCCACTATTACAGTTGATCTCCAGACAATAGAGATCAGTTCCCCTGGAGAAAGTGGCTGCTTTGGAGGGTGGACTGCACCAGCGATGTACCCAGTCTACTTGGCGCCCGGGGTGGATTTTTAACAACCCTCTCTTTTTCTTTTTCTTTTGCCGTCAAGTCATAGCTGACTTGTGAGGATCCCATTGGGTTTTCAAGGCAAGAGACGTTTGGAGGTGGTTTGCCAATGTCTGCCTCCGTGTCATCCCTGCTTAGCTTCTGAGATCCTATGAAATCAGTCTAGGCTGGGGCTATCCAGGTCAGGGCCCCTGCTCTGTATGACAAAATTATTTTCAGTAATAATCATGACATAAAACAAATGATAATAATGGCCAGAAAATAGATTCAGGTGGGTAGCTGTGTTAGTCTGAAGCAGCACCTTAAACGTGCCACTAGACCCAAACTTTGTTTCAATGGCCAGAAAAGAAACACAGACAGTGAAAAAATTATTTTATTTAACTTTGTATATATAATCATGCCAGTAAAAAAAAAATCAAATTCTAACATGCTGTTAAGAACATAAGAGAAGCCAATGTTGGATCAGGCCAATGGCCCATCCAATTCAACACTCTGTCACACAGTGGCCAAAAATACCAGGTGCCATCAGGAGGTCCAGCAGTGGGGCCAGGACACTAGAAGCCCTCCCACTGTTGCCCCCCCCCCCAGCACCAAGAATACAGAGCATCACTTGCTCCAGACCGTGAGTCCCTATCTATACCTTGTGGCTAATAGCCACTGATGGACCTCTGCTCCATATGTTTCTCTAATTCACTCTTAAAGCCGTCCATGCTTGTAGGTGCCACCACCTCCTGCGGCAGTGAATTCCATGTGTTAATCACGAGAGCCAGCGTGGTGTAGTGCTTTGTTGGACTAGGATCTGGGAAATCCAGATTTGAATCCCCACTCATGCCATGAAAGCTTGCTGGGTGACCTTGGACCAGTCACATTACTCTCAGCCTAGTCCTGACCTGGATATCCCCAGGATAGCCTGATCTCCTCAGATCTCAGAAGCTAAACAAGGCTGATGGGGAGGCAGCCAATGGCAAACAGCCACCAAATGTCTCTTGCCTTGAAAACCCCACAGGGTCTTCAAAAGTTAGTTATGACTTGAAAGCAAAAAATAAATTAAAAATCCATCATGCCACTTTTGTTCTGAGCAGGCACTTGGGAAGGCTTCTGTTCTCTGTTTTGAAGCCCAAGAACTGACCGTCCCAAGCAATACATGTTTAAGGGCTAGGAGTCTGCCTTTTGTTGGAAGTGAAGGACTCTTTACGCTGTCTTTTAGCCTCAGACTTCAGAGGGGGTTTATGAGAGTTAGAGAGAGCTGGACACTGATCTATCATTCTCTACTCTGGTACTATCCCTTTGATGTGTAGATTGCTACTCTCAGGGAAACCTCCTTTCTTCCAGTTTTAACATCTTCTCTCAATACAGTGTGCTAGCTTTCTTAATCTCAGCAATATGAGAGCAGGACATGCCTCCTGTATCTCCATCCATTTTAGCTAGTTAGTCTAGATTGGAATCCTATCTCTTCTGTATCCTGTCTAGAATGGAGTTCCTACAATAAAATAACTCCTATTAGTTTGAAAAGGTAAGGGTCTCTATACGACTTTGTTCCTGTCAGTACTAACCAGAGATAAACTCTGCTGTGCTATGAGCCTTAAGAACTCTGCTAACCATGAATAAACTTTTACTAACACTAGCCAAAGCATAACAAAATAGTGATTGCAAGCTTCTCCAGACTGGATGTTAAACAGACTGCCCCCTAAAGGAGGCGCCCTTATCCTCCATTGTATCCAAAGGATTAAAGTTAAACCAGGGTATTTCTGCAGTAGAAACCGCAAGGGGCATTTTTGCAAGTCTAGAAGAACCAGTGCAATCTACAGAGTACCCAGCAGTACCAGTGCCTATACTACTCTTAATTACATTAACCAATTCCACACAAGCAGCTGTGCCATCCTTGCTCTTCTGTTTCCCCCACTTGCATTGGTCAATTTCATACTATTCACTGCGTGGCCGCATTTTGACCCACCCAATATCCCACATGGATTCTTGATCTCAAAAAAAACAAGGATCGAGAAGACGTGGGAGAAATCGGGGGGAGCTGTGAGTCAAAATGCAGCCGCACAGCAAATAGTGAGAAACAAGAAGGGGGACCCGCGATACTCGCGGGGTGGGGGAAGTAGCTCCACATGGAGGAGGAGGAGGAAGCAGCCAGAGGTGAGCTTTCTCCCCCGCTTCCCCTGCCACACCAACAGCGAG